AGAACTGTTATTCCTGCTCCCCTATCTTTGCCTGAGAGCCCCTTAATTTCAAAATTATAATTCAGAGGAAGAGGGTTTCCATTTTCCATTTCAGGGGAGGCTCCTGCCTTCCTTAGCAGACTCCTGTCTTGTCTGTTCAAACCAAGACACAGAGAATCCATGACAAAGGGTGACCAGACCTTCTGGGTTCAGCTCAAACACCACATCCTGGGACCTCAAAACTTGTTGTGAGACACCTCCTCATCCAAAAGCAGAGCCCAGAGGTGATCTTGGCTTAGTTTTAGTTCTTCCAGCAGCACACAGGAAATCCCTGCATGCATTCAGGCTGAAATTGTTGTACCTTATGGGGATTTGGGATGTCAGCTCTGCCACACTTGACCTGGGCCTTGCTGCACTCACTAAAGGGAATGACAGGGGTGCAGTTTCCATGTGGAGAGTTCAGGGGGGAAAGGAGGGAAGTGCTGCCCCTTTCCATCCTCACCATGCTGTAATTCACCCCCCAGGACGGAGCAGTGCCTCACCCTGCTCCTGACACAGCCCTGTGGTTGCTCTTCAGGGAAAGTGAACACATCCAGCCCCTGGCAGGATTTGGCCAGAAACAAGAATCATAAAGCATGTTTAATCAAATTAATCAAATTCATATACTGAGGATATTCCAAATACTAAGGGGGTTACTGCTGTTATCTAGTAAAATTCCTCTGACCCTAGAATGCTTCTGACACTTCAGAATAACCATTTTATTTATGGGAAAAAAAACCTTCTGTTTCTGTCATCTGCAGCAAAGTTTGTCCAGGAGTTGCAGAAGGAGGTTTTGCACTAAGTTGGGTTTACTGAATATGAACACGTGGGAAGAAAAAGCAGAGGCCCAAATGCTGTGAGATGCATTAATCAGTGATTTAACCCGAAGTAAAGGACAGAGATTGATCATGGTGAACCCCAGGAGCCACCTCACCCATCTTAAATCCTCCCCATCAAGGGCTGTTCCCACCCTCCAAACCAGTTCAGCAAACATCTAAACGCCTGAAAAACCAAAATATACCTCAGGAGCAAAGTAGTCGGGGCGGATTTTGGAAATGAGGGAGAGCTTCTGGCCCAGGGTCTTGGCTCTGTTCAGGGTCAGCATGGTCTTCCTCATCTTCCTGCTGTGGCGGATGGGCACGTCGGACATGAGCTCCACGCCGCCGGCCACCACCACGTCACACTGGCCAGCTGCAATCATCCCCACCCCTGCAGGGACAGGAACACTGCCAGGACAGGGACAGGAACACTGCCAGGGCAGGGACACTCACCCCCTTGTTGGAGTTCTGGGTGCTGAGAGTTTCAGACTTTCTGTGCTGAGAATTTCAGGCTTTCTGTGCTGAGAATTTCAGACTTTCTGTGCCGGGAATTTCAGACTTTCTGTGCTGACACACTCTGACCCCCAGGACAGCACTGCATTTGACCTGAGGCCGTGGAGAAGCTTCCAGAATTGATTGAGAGCACTGGGATTGTGGGTGTGGAGTGGGGTAGAAATGTGTGATATCACAGGGTGGAAAACTTGGAGTTTGGGGTTTTAGAATATAGTCATATATATGGGGCAAAATGGAGGTTTCAGGGTGGTGGCAGGTTGTCCTTCTTTACCTTCTTCCTTCTTCTCCATGGGTTTGGGTGGTGTTTTGTAACTGGACAGAAAAGTCCACATTGCAGACTTTGACTGATTAGTTAATGGGTTAAAAGTGAAAATAATTTAGGTGTCATTTCTTAATTGGATAATTTAGCCCAAGAGATAGCTGGCCATTTTGTGCCTTGTTAGTGAAGAACTGCAGAACTCACTGCTGTGAGACTGTAACATAGGTAAGAAATAAAAAACACCTGAGTCTGGATGTGAACCATCCTCTCGAGTGCCTTCAATCCTGACCTCAACAGGGAAAAAGGGAAGTTGAAAACAGGCACCCCAACAGAGCCCTGGCCACTCCTGCACTTCTCCTGCAGCCCCCGGCCATGGCTGGGTTACACATGAGCTGCTGTCACTTGGCTGCCACTTGTCCTTGTCACACAGAGCAGGGAGGGAAGGACAGCCCCAGCAGTCTGAGCTGTGTCTCCATTTTTTAGCCCTGGTTAGGCTAAGCCAAAGATAAAAGGAGCAAATTTCTCACCATGGTCAGTCTTTACCTCCCAAACAAACACAGACACTGGGCAGAGATGCTGCTGCAGGCCTACAGCAGACACTCAATTCATGTTGTATTTTGTTGGCTAAAAAGCTTCCACAAAATCCCTGAGGATGGAAAAGACCTCCCAGACCATCAAATCCAACCTTTGACTGATCTTCACCTTGTCACCAGCCCAGAGCTCTGAGTGTCATTTCCAGGAATTCCTTGGACACTTCCAGGGATGGGGACTCCACCATTCCCTGGGCAGCTCCTTCCAGTGCATGACCACCCTTTCCAGGGAAAAATTCCTCCTGATGTCCATCCTGACCCTGCCCTGGCCCAGCTTGAGGCTGTTCCCTCTCATCCTGTCCCTATTCCCTGGGAGCAGAGCCCAACTTCTCCCTGTCTGCCCCCAGCTGTCAGGGAGCTGTGCAGAACCATGAGATTCCCCCTGAGTCTCCTTTTCCCCACACTAAATCCCATTTTTCCTTCCATTCCAGCATTTCTTCAGTTGGTTTTTTACATTCACAAGCAGTGCCAGTTGAATAAAGGCTATAAAAGAATTCCCAAGCTCCCTCTGAACCCCACAGCTTGCTCTTGCAGCCCACATACCTGTGGTCATGGCCTGGTTTGAGGAAATGCAGGCCATGGTGACGGTGTGGGCTGGAGTTTTGTCAGAGAATCCTGCTCCCAAGGCAGCCTAAAACAACAAGAGGGGATGTTAAACCTACAGCTGCTGCTCCCAGGCAGAGCTGCCCCTGCCCAGCACACACTGCCAGGTGGAGATGATGACAAAGACATGGAGTTTTTATCCAGTAATTATGACAGCAGCTCTTCCCCTCCCAAACTCTGGAGCAGGAGCTGAGGCTGCTCTGAGAACAGTCACTGCCTCTCCACGTTTTTTAATAAAGAGACAAACAAATCACACCCCACATTTTTAAAAACACACATCAAAAGAGCCTCCAACTACTCAGCATCAACTTTGCTTCACCTTATTGGCAAAGGCAACACGTGAAAGGGTGATTTAGACCACTCAGCACAAGGCTCACAGAGAGCAGCAAACTGCAGAGCAGTGACTCATCCCAGCAGCCCAGAGACCTTCCCTACTTGGGATGTGGCCAACTGGTTGAAAGTTCAGCAGTTGTTCCCAAGTTAAAATTACCCTGCAGCCCCATCTGACTGGCAGGTGACCAAAGGCAGGCCTTGCACTCACGAGGCTGCACAGGGAGCCCAGGTTACATCCTGCATTTCTCCAGGTGCAGAGGCTGCAGGTTAGCAAGGATCAGGCTGCTGCCTGGCACATGACTCCTGAGGATAATGCAGGAATTGTGTTTTCTGGCTGCTGGAAAAAAGGGCAGCAAAGCTGCTCTGCTTCAAATCCTGAGAATGCTGTGTCTGAGCAGGCAGCTCAAATAAATAAGTCAATAAATACCACAAGAAAACAAACCCTCACAGCACACTCTGTTCCTCCCAGGATATTGGGGAAGTGCTCAATCCAGCTGGTGTTTAGGAGCTGAGGGATCAGCTCCTAAACCCTCAACAAAACTTTCACTTGCAGGGAAGAATCAAGTAGAGGCTCCACAGCATTGAAATATAAAATATTGACAAAAAACAATGCTAAAATAAATCTGTAGCAGATTTCAACAGGAAGCAGAGAATCACAAAATAATTTTCCTTATAGTCCCAGGAACTCACTTAACAGACAATACTACACAACTACTTCATACTTTCAAATCATATATAAACAAACAATAATAATGGGAAATCATTTTTTTGCAAGGATTTGTCATTTTCAGACTCCCAGGGGAATGCTGCACAGAACCCACCTCTCTGGCAACATTACTGGTCTTCACCTCCTGGATAACTGTGCCATAAACAATGTAATCAACAACATCCCTCGGGACACTGGTCCGGGTCAGCAGGCCCCTAAGGACAGGATCAAAACAAAGGGAATTTGCATCACATAAATAAAAACCTCTCCAACATCCTTTTCCTGCCAGCTTGGCTGCAGAACAGGGCAACAGCAGAGCCACAGCTTCTGTCCCCCCCTCAGAAGAAACCTCATGTGCATGTGGGTCCCATGGGAAGTGTAGCTGATTGTGGGCTGCAATCAATCTTGGTGATAATGTCACAATAAATCATTACAGAACTTCATTAAAGCAATTACTTTATAGCCCTTACACCTCTCCTTCCACAAAATGGCTCACAGAATCATCAAACCCCAAAACAGTTTGGGTGGGAAGGACCTCAAAGCTCATCCAGTGCCACCCCAGGCATGGCAGGGACATTTCCACTGTCCCAGGGTGCTCCAAGCTTGGGCACTGCCAGGGATCCAGGGGCTGCCATCCCCAGGCTTCTCCAAGCCTTCGCTCTTCTCCAGAGCACTTTGCTCTGCCTCTCAACAAAACAAACCCACTGCTAATTGTACTCTCAGAACAGGAGGGTTACAGAATTAGCTCAATATCCTTGTTGTCACTTCATTTCCTCTGGGTTGACCAGATTGTTTTGCCCACCAGATGTGAGCAGCTCTGATGTCTGTGTCTGGAAAGCTAAAGCTGGGAATCAAATTCACTAAAATTTGTCACCATCAGCATCTCTTTGCATCAACACCAACCCACTGAAAACCCCAAAAACAACACAAACCCCACTGCTTAAGCCACCCACTGCTGTGGAGGGAGGCCAGGACAAATAAAGCACCTGAGCTGTTCAGAGCCAAGCCCAGAGCTTTGGCTCTGCAACCCTGAAACCTCAGCAGTTTAACAAGAATTCTGAGCCCTTCCAGTGTTCCATTTACTTACTGCAGTGCTGCTCTGGCTAAGTCATGTGGCATCAGATCAGCATACCTGGAGGGTGAAGAGCAGAGGAAGAAACTCAGAGGTGTGAGGAATCAGTGCAGAATTGTCAGTACAGAAATCAGGACAGAATTCTCCTGTGAGCAGCAAGAACTGGGGATGGACCAGAAATGATCCACTGAGCTTCTGAGCAAACATTCACAGATTGGTTTGGGTTGGAAGGGACACTAAATGTCATCCAGTGCCACCCCTGCCATGGCAGGGACATCTCTCACTGTCCCAGGTGGATCCAAATCCCAATGTCCAACTGGGCCCTGGGCACTGCCAGGGATCCAGGGTGGGCACCCTGTGCCAGGGCCTGCCCACCCTCACAGGGAACAATTCCTCATTCCCAGTATCCCATCCAGCCCTGCCCTCTGGCACTGGGAGCCATTCCCTGGCTCCTGTCCCTCCATGCCTGTCCCCAGTCCCTCTGCAGCTCTCCTGGAGCCCCTTCAGGCCCTGCCAGGGGCTCTGAGCTCTCCCTGGATCCTTCTCCTCTCCAGGTGAGCACCCCCAGCTCTGCCAGCCTGGCTCCAGGGCAGAGGGGCTGCAATCCTGCACTAAACCCACAGAAAAGCAGCAGGGATGGGATAAAGAAACCCCTTCCCCAGCCTAACAGTCAGGTGTCATTCTTGCTCAGCCGTGATTTGGTGGCACAAACCAGGAAGAAGAGCCTACAGCAGATTCTTGGCCCCTGTCCTGCCAGTTTAAAGTCAAACTTGTTGCTTCATCTGCTATAAATTCTCCAACTGCTTCCTCTAAACATGCTCCATACATCCTTACTCTTCCCAGGATTCAAACACAGGGACAACCTTCTTCAAACCACATTCCTGCACTAAATAAGGCACCTCCTGAGCCTTCAGGCCCAATAATAACTCCATTAAAATGAATAAGAGAGATGTTTTCACAGAAAGAGTTGAGTTTTAGGCAAGTCAGGGGGTGTTTTCTGGGTTTCACTCCTCTCTGACACTCACGTGGTGCCAGACTGCAGGAAGGGAATGCGGACACCCTCCACCACCACCACATTCTTCACCCCACTTTTGGCCAGGCTCTTCTTAGTCTTTGGCTGGGCTGTGAAGAGAGAAGCGATGGTGACAAAAATATCAGCAATTTTCATATAGATCCTGCAAAGATTTCTAGAAAATAAAGAAAAATGGCCTTTTTTTGGTGTGTAAGTGAAAGGCAGGGATGGACCAGAAATGATCCACTGAGCAAACATTTCAAGGAATCACCGATTGGTTTGGGTTGGAAGGGACACTAAATTTCATCCAGTGCCTGAGCTGGAATCTTGGAATGGTTTGGGTAGGAAGAGACCTCAAAGCTCATCCAGTGCCACTCCCTGCCATGGACAGGGACACCTTCTGCTACCCCAGTGTGCTCCAAGCTCCATCCAACCTGGACTGGAACACTTCCAGGGATGGGGCCTGTTCCTCATCACCCTCACAACCAAGAATTTCTGCCTAATGGGAAGACATTTCTTCCTAATGGGAAGAAATTTCTTCCAAACTGGAAGAAATTCTCTCCCCAGTGGGCAAGGTTCAAGACAAGGGATGTCACGACCCAGCACCATTCCACAGGCCAGTGCCAGGACAAAACTCCAGCACTGTCTGGAGATTCCTTCAGGCTTTTCCCAAAGCCCAGGGGATGATGAGGAGCTGCTGTCCAGGCCTGCTCCCAAAATCCCAAAGCCTGAGTCACCTGAGAAACCCTCACAGTGAACCCAGTGCATGGATCACCCCAAACACTCCCTGTGGACTGTGACTAAAAACTGGAATGGCTGCTGGGAGCCAGGACACTCAGGGGATGAGAGGACTCTGCTGCAAACACTGGTTTGCCTGAAGTTTTCCTTGCTTGCAGCTTTTCAGGAACACCTGAAGCACTCTGCATTCTGCACCATTTCTAAGATTTAAGCTTCCAAAACAGCCCTGTGCAGCACAGGCCCACTGAGATTCTGGTGTTTTCCACTTACCTGCAGACTGGAACTGCAAGGAGCAGCTGAGTGATCGAGTAACTGGAAAATAAGAAAGGGGAAAAAATGACAGAAAAATGTTAGAAACTGTTCTAGTCTCTGCAAGAAGGGTTAGAAAAAGCAAATAATGTCACTGTAAGACACCTGACCACCTGTGTTGGGTGCTTTACTCTGTCCATAAACCTGACACACTTTCTGTTAACTCAAGATTCCTCCCCATATGATGGAGGAAGAGACAAACAAGGCAACAATGTAATTTGGATTAAAAAATAAACACTGACAGCCTTTTAAAGGTGAAAATGAGACAGATTCAGATCCCAGCATCCATTCCAAACCCAACATTTCACCCAGAGGTTTATGCCCACCAATGGAAGCCAAAGATACTCACAGGCCCCAGCAGCCCAGGCTGAGGACACGGGGAGGTTCCGCAGGGCAGAGCTCAGCATGGAACTCATTTTGGGATCTAGGGAAAGGCTGGGCTCAGTCCAAGCTCCTCTGTCCACAACAATCCCAAGGGAAGGGTCCTGCCTGCCTCACACAGAGCCAGCAAGGTGAGGGGCACACTCTGCAAGGGCAGCAGAAGCAGCAGCAGCACAGGAATCACCTCCCAGCACGCTCAGAGCCTGTGAATAAATACTGCCCAGTGAGCTTCTCAATTCCCTCCCAGCAACTGCTGCTCCTCCACTTCCCACTGGAAAATTGTCCCAGTGCCCAGGCAGCCCTGCTGCCAGCAGCACCTCCTGACACCAGCAGTGTCCTTGGCACCCCTGCCCCTCGCCAGCCCCTGGTGCCAGCCTGAGCACCAGGAGCTCCTCCTGTGCATCCCTGTGGCAAATTCAGGTTCTCCACCCCCAAAAAACCCCTCTGCAGCTTTCCCAAATCATGTTTCCCTCCAAACAAACCCTCATCCGCAGGTTTTATTGCCCAGGGATGGCCCTCACAGCTCCAGGGTTTGTTTGATCCATGCCAACATTCATCTCCCTCTGTCACACTCTGGGGTTCAATCTTGGCACTTTCTCTCCCAAGCACAAAGTTTTCCCATGGAGGGGCAAAGGAACACCCACAGTCCCAAACCCAGCCCTCTGCAGCTCCCCAAAACTCAGCACAAGCTGCCAGTCACCCCCTTTGACACCTCCCAGCTGCAGCTCCACACCTGAAATGTGCCTTTTCCCAGCCCCAGGCTCCTCCTGCCAACAAAGAACCCAAAACCAAACCTTTCCAGGGCATCCTGCTCCTCCTCCATCTGTGGCAACCTCACTCCCCACACGTGAATGAGGCTTTTCCCTAAATTTTCCCTACCCAGCTGACAAAAGTTTCTCCCAGGTGTAACCTCCTCCTTCCTCCCACATTGCACAGCCATCTCCTCCTGGTACATCTCCATTTCTGCCCCCCAAACACCCCCAATCCCCTCATTTCTGGTGCTCCCCTGGCTCTCCAAGGGCTCAGCCCTGCCCGCACAAACCACCAGGGCAAAGCTCCTTGCAGAGCCAGGATTTGCCTGGATTCCACAGCTGAGCCGAGCTCTGTGACCCTCAGGGATCCCTTCCAACCTAGGATAATCCTCAATTCCATGAACAGCCCCTGCTCCCTTCCCATCCCCACACATCCTGACACTTTCACAGCACAACACCATCACCCCGGGACTCCCAGTGCCCACCCCAAACACACCCGTGCTGCTCTCAGCCACTCCCAAACTCCCCTCGTCCATTCAGGGCCGACTCCTGACCCCTCCTGTCCGCCCAGGACCAACCCCTCGGGCCCTTCATCCATCCGGGACCAAAGATCAGACCCTCCTCATCTTTTCCCAGCCCTTCCCTACCCCATCCAGCCAGAATGAACCCCTTGACTCCCCTCACTTTTATTCAGAATGAACCCCCTGACTCCTCTCACTCCCACCCAGAACGAACCCTCTGACTCCCCTCACTTTTATTCGGAACGAACCCCCTGACTCTCCATCCCTCCAGGACGAACCTCCTGACTCCCCTCCCTTCCATCTGGGATAAACATCCCGACTCCCCTCTTTCCTCCCCGTCCACCGGAACGAACCCCTCACTCCCCTCACTTATTCGGAACGAACCCCTCACTCCCCTCACTTCCATCCGGAACGAACCTCCCGACTCCCCTCACGTCTCCCCCATCCACCCGGAACGAACGCCCCAAATCTCCTCGCTTCTATTCGGAAAGAACCCCCCGACTCCCCTCACTCCCTCCCGCAACGAGCCCCACGACTCCCCTCACTTCCATCCAGAACGAATCCCCCGACTCCTCTCACTGCTCCCCCCGTCCATCGGAACGAGCCCTCCGATTCCCCTCACTTTTATTCGGAACGAATCCCCCTGACTCCCTTCACTCTTCCCCCGTCCATCGGAACGAGTCCCCCGACTCCCCTCACGTCTCCCCGTCCATCTGGGACCGCTCCCCGACTCCCCTCACTTTTATTCAGAACGAGTCCCCCGACTCCCCTCACGTCTCCCCGTCCATCTGGGAACGCTCCCCGACACCCCTCACTGCTCCCCACCCATCAAAACGAGCCCCCCGACTCCCGTCAGGACTCCCCGTCCATCCGGCACCGCCCCCCGGCCTCCCTTCATCCTTCCCCCGCCCACCGAGGACCGACCCCCGACCCTCTGCTCCAGCCCGGACGGAGCCGCCTACCCCTGACCGCCACTCCTTTCCCCGGGACTGACTCCCGATTCCTCTCACCCTTCCCACACTGCCGTCCACCCAGGACGGAGCCCGTGACCGCTCCGTGCCCTTCTGTCCCCTCCTGTCCCTTTCTGTCCCCTCCCGTCCGCTCCCGCCGCTCACCTCCGCCCTCACCCTGCTCTGCCGCCGCCGCGCCGCCACTCGCCAAGGGCCCCGCGTCCCTCCCACTCTCCGGGCTGACCGCCTTACGCCTGACCCATACCTCTCCCTCTGCCGCCGCTTCTCACCCTTACCCCGGCTTCTCCCGCAATCCGCTCCGGCTCTACGCGGTTTGAAAACACCCGAGACACCGCGGAGAGCGGAGGAGAAGGAGGCAGCGGTGTGTTGGCGGCGGTGAAGCGCGCGGGCAGCGCGCCGGGGCGGGCGCGGGCGGGGCGCCGTGGGCGGGGAGAGCGCGGGCAGGCCCCCGGCGGCCTCTCCCTCATTCGACCTCGGCGAAGATGGCGGCGGCGGTGCGAGCCATCGGCAGCCTCGGCCGCCTCCCGGCCGCCGCCAGGGCCGGCCCGACGCGGCACACCCCGCCCCGCGGTGAGCGAGGGGACGGCGGGGAGCGGGAGCGGCTGGCGTGCGGGGTTCCCCGCGCGAGGGGAGCACCGGGGGATGGGGGCAGTCAGGGGAAAGGGACGGAGATAACGGAGGGGCACGGAGGGGACACTGAGGGAAGGGGAGTGTTGAGGGGCAGGGGGACAGCGAGGGGGCACTGAAGGCTCGGGGAGTGGGGACTGGCGTGGGATGGGGCCCGCTGAGGAGTGAGTTTTGGGGGGACGGTGAGGAGGCACTGAGAGGTGACGGCAGAGGAGACGCTGAGGGGGCGAGGGTCGGGGTGGTGTTGAAGGGATAAGGACCAGGGTGTCCCAGAGAGGATTTCCTGGTGCTGGGGCAGGGGTTGGGTGGGTTCGGGTGTCCCGAAGGGTTCCTCGGGTGGTGTGGCCGTGAGGAGTTCCCAGGGCTGTGAGGATTGGGGCCGGGACAGGAGATCCCCGGGGTAGCTGTGGGGTGGGAGGTGTCCCTACGTGTGTCTGTGCCCCATGTGAGGGGTTTGTCCCCACGGCCTGGGGGTCACCCAGGGGATCCTTGGCAGGTCCCCAAGGTCTGTCCCCCCATGTCCTGGGGTCTCTGGGGGTTGTGTGCTACCATAGGGGACATCCTGCAGTGCCAGTCCTTGCACAGGGACACACTGTGGGAATCTCTTAGCGGTTCTGGGGTGTCCTTGTGACCTGGCACTGAGAGGGGGGGACACTCCCTCCAGTCAGGATGGTCCCTGCACGTGAGCTGAGCCACAGGGAGAGAGTGTCCTTGTGCCCTGACAGGCGTGCCTGTCCCAGTGCCCCGAGAGCTTGCTTGGAAAGGAGAGGGTGTCCCCGTGCCCTTGGCAGTCTGGATCCTGTGGCTGCCTTCCAGACAGGCAGGGGATCCATGGGAAGGGGGAATCCCTGTCATCCCTGTGACCCTGTAATCCCCTTTGTCTGGGGGAGAGTGGCTGCAGGTGCTCCATGATCCCTCAGCTGAGAGAATTGGGATTGTTCAGGCTGGAGAGGAGAAGGATCCAGGGGGCAGGAGAGGCCCTGAAGGGGCTCCAGGAGAGCTGCAGAG